TCTCTCTCTCTCTCTCTCGCTGCTGCACTCCAAGGCCTCCTCGCAGGACTCGAGTTCTCTTGCTTCCTCTGCTCCAAGACTCCAGGGTGCCGGACTCTAACTCCTTAAGTCGAGAGCCCCCTGGGCCCTACTGTTGATGATATAAATCCTGCATTACCTTAAGGACCTTAAACTATGGGAATTATGGTGTATTCCTGATTATGGGTAATGCAGGACTTATATCATCAACCGTAGGACAGTCGTCCGACCTGCGGCGGCAGGCCTCTTGAAGCTCGGCCCCACGCACCTGACTACGGAGTCGAGCTCCGGCAACTACATCTCAGCCCATAACCTTTCTCTCGAAGCTCGGAGGTATTTGGATGGCAAAGGAGGGGTTATTCGAGGCAAAAAAACTCCTTTCGTTCTGGTGCAGCAAGGAAGACGTGATGAATTGTACTGGTACCTCCTCTTGCAACTGGACTGCACTTGGAGCTTTGAGCTGCAGCTTTCAACTCCGAGTTGAGTAAACGAGAAACATTCCCATCCAGGCACGTTCTATGCGAACGCCGCCACAAGTGCCGTCTTCCTTTGCCCTTTGGGCACAGGATCGGTGGTTTTCGAAGACTTGCATGATTTCGGCTGCCTGGTACTGCTGGCCTGCATTCGCCTGAAGTGTACAGTCCAGTGTTCGGAACCCTATGGTATTCTCATGTCGTAGGTGTGCAGAACTTGCAGGAGAAATCTTCTTGGCTGTCTTGTGATTTGCGGCTGCAGACTGGGCAACCTAGTTTTGCCTTGCCAGTTGCAGTGACTACAAAGGCTAGGCCATGGCCAGGGACAGGTATTGCCAGATACTCGACCTAGAACCGAACTGTACCGCGAACTTCCTCTACATAGTAAGACCCGAGAACTGCCAGGCATGCAGGCCAGGGGACACGCAGGTTCTGAACGTGACGAGGAGGCCTGCCGTGTCGATGTCGAATGGGGACATTAATCAGGGCGCAGTGTTCTTGGAAGGAGGCTGTTGTGATCCTGGGTTGGCTGCTCAATCGTTTATAGTCCAAGCCTTAATTTGCACCGTAAACCTATACTCTAACTCCCACAGCCGCGCCGCGGCTTAGAGCCCAGAATGACAGCCTCGGAGCCTGCGACGTCGCCACAGTAAGGTCCAGATCCACTGCAGTGTGGATTCTGCAGCAAACCCTCCAGTAGTCGTGGAAAGCATAACTTTCGCAGCAGAAGTCTCCATCTCCGAACTGGCTTTCGAGTCGACTGTCAGCATTTGTGCGATCTTTTGTGTGGGACGTTTCAGGCCATGCAGTCAGTGCCCCGAAGGGGCTTCCAAGTGCCTGGCCAGCGAGCTGGAGATGCAGTGCCCTGTCCTACGTTGACCCAGGGTTTGGCTGTTGGGTCTAGTTCACCAAACTTGGTGGATTGGTGGTACAAGGCTTTCGTCTCCTTGCTCATGAGATTCTCGAAAGGGAAAAGATGAGTTAATTACATGGGAAGCTCTGAAAGAAACATTATTTCAATTGCTTTGTTTTCCGGAGTCCTTCAAAGGCAGGCAGCAGCATTTTCCGAGCATTCATTTGACAAATTCAGTTTTCTGAGTAGTCTTTCGATCCAGGCAACAAGGAGGCAACAGTCCAGCAGCAGCGAGCAGCAGCAGCAGCAGGACGCCCAACACCGAATTTGGTTGTCCAAAGAGGGTGCTAAACGTCAGAAGCAGCAGGCAGCATTCAAGATGTCCCCAAGATTAGGCAGTCAACTTTCGGTCAAGACGTCGTGCGCACACCCTACACAATTTCTGTGAACCCCCCAACCCTAGGCCCTGAACCCTATGGGAAAGCGGCGATCAAAACAAAACCTAAATCAAAAAGTTTAGGGTTGGGGTTCTGAAGCCGCCAAAATCAGGAATATACCCCCACTACCACTGCGCAAGAGCCCAGTAACCCGAACGACCCCTAAACCTAAATCTCCGAAACTGCCAAACCCCGAACTCAAGGCATAGGCCACCCACCTACCTCCGCTGCTTTGCTCTGCCCTGCCCTGCCCTGCTGCGTTGTTGGCCGGAAGGAACGGAAGGAAGAGAACGCGTTCTGGCATGAGTTTAGGCCTAAACCCTAAAAGGAATCGGTTTGGGTAGTTTGGCCGCGTTAGGGGAGAGAAAGAAGGAAATGCCTTCTATAGACAGGGCTTGACAGGCCTTCGCAGCTTCTCGCCATAGCCGATGCACTGGACAGAGCCTTATCGCAAGATAAGATACTGTCGCCTACGCACTATTCCATGGCAAACCCTAAAGCCAGACCCGAAACCCTAAACTCGTCTGACTGAGGCCCGGGCTCATGGTGGAATTGGAAGACGTCAACCGCAGCTTCCACTGTCCCAACGAGGCTAGGAAGATAAAGGTCCTCTTTTACGGAAACTATAGGGGATCGGCCTCTTTCAAGGTTTTACAATAAGGCTTCTGTAAGGGGTGGGAAGACAAGGGTTCCGTGTAAAGAGGACCTCATTCTGGAACCCTAGGTACCGGTACAGGGGACTCTACTATGGGACTCTATAGTACTCGCTTCCAATACGGTGTCTGCAAGGGATCTACAAGGGTTTTTAGGGCTTAGGGCTTAGGGCATTTAAACCTCTACTTATAAGCACTCAGGTGACAGAGGAGCCTCAAGACTGAAAGGATTTCTTCCCAGCTACTTTTGATCTTGCACGAGACTGTGCGCCATGAACCCGAGCACGACGCGCCCATCAAGAAGTAAAGCACCTACATCGCACCCTATGACGCTGAGCTTGGCCAAACACCCAAGAAATCACGAAATCCATCCTTGAGGCTGCCTGCCCTGGGGGCGATGTATCCCAGGGAAGGGTGCGCCGGGCAATGTGCGCAGATGGCTGCCTGAGCTCCAACGGGTTGTGATTGGACTTTGCTTTTGGTTTCGCTTCATAGAGGTAATGTCGAAGCCTGAAGAGGGTTCCTTATCATTATTGTCATAATATGTCCCAAAGCCTTATTCTAGCCATAAGGCACTATGTTACTTTCATAAGCCACGTCGTTCTTCTGACTCGGGTGTTTCGTGAGCTTTGCTACGCCACCTAGCACAGGTAAGCACAGACGGAAAACACCGAAGCCTTGAGTTCAAAATCGCAAGGCTACCGGGGCCAAGGCTGCACGAACTGCAGCGATGAGCACGCCATGGCGGACAGCAGTGTGTTCTCGTGCTCCTTGCCCCACCTGGACTTTCAAGCTTTGGGCCTTGGGGCTCTTCTGACTTGTCTGAAGTCGGCAGGGTCAACTTAGGGTTTAGGGTTCGGTTGAGGGTTTAGGGTTTAGGGCTGTCCTTCCGAATCTTCAGCAGCTAAACTTTAGCATCACCATGTTACTTGTGGCGGGGCTTGACAGTGCTCAGCTATCTTTTTCAACTCAGGCAGCTTCGAAGCATGCAACCACAGCTTAGAATTCCTGAATCCCAGTGTTGGGAATTGATGTTGGCCATGCGAATTGCGGCCTGGGGTTCTAGATTCTGGATTGATGACCTGGTGACATGCTCCTTATGTTGACATATCAGGTCGCAGACCAAGTAGGCACAGAAAGACAGTTGCAGGGCCTAGCAGCCTAGCTTTGGCCAGCCTTGCGTGCTGCCTTCTGCTGGTCGCAGCGGCTGTCACCTCCTGCTAGCCCCCAGGGCTCCCTGCGAGTGCCTTCGAACTCCCAACCGTCTTAATCCTAGCCGAGACCAAAGGTTCCGGTTGCCACATCTTTGTGGCAGGACAGTATGTAGTCCCGCAGCGTGCTGCCGAGGCACTGCCTGCAGCAAAGACCGTCGTGTGCAGGCAAGACATTCTTATCATGCGCCCCGAACATCTAGGACGTCTCTGCGTTTTTGCCCTCGTGGTCCTTTGTGAGAAACCGCAAAGATAAAGGGTTTGGTCCGACATCATGTAAATGCGTCGAGTCCGAAGCTTGATGCGATGGCTTTTATTGGGTGCGTCGTCCAGCAAACCTCGGTGGATACCTGCAAGCCCAAACCCGAAACCGCAAACCGTTGAGATTCTCAAAGTTAGCACGTATGCTTGACCGTGGCAAGAAATTCATAGCTAAGGGATACTGAGCTCCATAAACTTCCAGGAAACCCTGTAAATCCTGACACAACACCTTCAGCGAGGGGACTCATGGTTAAGGGATGTAGGATTCTCCTTGGGCGAACCGACGCAGGCGGTGCAGTGGATCACGTTCCTGTCTCAGCGCACCTTCCTTTTCGCAATCGGAGCTCTGAGCGCCTTTGGAGCCAAGAAGGACGCTTGGCAAGACCATCTAAAGCCATCTGGCCTGAAGCCATCTAAAGCACTAAAAATCATTACAGCCCATAGCCGAGAGTTCTAAAGCCCTGAGGCTTAAGCCATCCGAAAGCTCTGAACCCAACTTTGCCTGGGCTACTGAGCTCAGGCTGGGGACCTGAAGCAAAGCAGCATCTACCTGAACCAGCTGATGGCCTTTGCCACCATCTCCAACACGACACTTGCCGGCATATCAGGGGGTCTTTATGGTCTTTGGTTTATCCGAGAACCCTAAAGCCCGAAACCCTAAGCCCCAAAACTGCCTTGAACTCTGAGCCCTAAGCCTAAACTCTAAACCTTTTAGGTGTTGTTTTTTTCCGGAATCCAGAAGTCTTTGGGCGAGTGCCCAGGATCCTGGCTGCCGTGTTGCAGACCCAGACGGCGAAGGCCATCAAAAGCGATGCCGCCGCCCCGCCGGCATTTCGGAGCTGTCGTCTCCTTGCAGACTACATCACGGCCATCATGTATCTTCGCATATTATCATATGATATGATCTTATCTCTCCATGGGCCTCCGAGCCAAGGCGAACTTCTTCTTCAACGCTGCTGTGCACACTGCCGAGGCAGCTTCCGGACAAGGACATGCCCTTCAGGGACTCAGTGCGCTCCTGAACACTCAAAACTGCCCAACTGAAGCCCCGGCTTTTCGTGTCTGCTGGAACCCGCAGCAGAGAGAGGGACCCGAGGTTACCCCCAAGAAAAGATGCATCGCACTGCCCGGCGCAAGATTCCGACTTAGTCCGCTTCAGCTGGTTCCCGCCTTGCAGAAACCGGGGCAATCTCCTTGAAACCCTAGACCCTGGACCCTCCACCCATAACCCCAAACCCTGGACCCTAACCCAGACTCCCGCTAGTAAAATCCCAGGATACCAAGA